TCTCTACTAAAAAATACAAAAATTAGCCAGGTGCGGTGGTGGGCGCCTGTAATCCCAGCTACTTGGGAGGCTGAGGCAGGAGAATTGCTTGAACCTGGGAGGTGGAGTCTGCAGTAAGCCGAGATCACGCCACTGCGCTCTAGCCTAGGCGACAGAGCAGGACTCCATCTCAAAATAAATAAATAAAAAAAGAAGTCCTAGATACCACACTCTTCTCCCTTCCTCCTCTTCCCTCTCCTCAGAGGTCCCACTTGTGGTTTTTCATTTCCTGCCCTGCCTCCATCTCCTCTGGGTGCTGGGAAAATGGAGGATTAGCTGAAGTTTTGCTTCTTGGGGCCTGTCTGAATCTCTGTTGCTTTCTGGGAGGACATAATTCACCTGTCCTAGCTTCTTATCATCTTACATTTCCCTGTAGCCACTGGGACATATGTGCTGTTCCTTCCTAGCTCTTGTCTCCTCATGCCTTCACTGGGGTATGGGCATGTTAGGGGGAGGGTCATTACTGTCAGAGGGGCACTGACCTTCTAATGGTGTTATCCAAGGTGAATGTTGGAGACACAGTCGCGATGCTGCCCAAGTCCCGGAGAGCCCTAACTATCCAGGAGATCGCTGCGCTGGCCAGGTCCTCCCTGCATGGTATGCAGCCCCTCCCGTGTTTCTGGCCACTTTGTCCTTTCTCCTCCGTTTTGCACAGTCCCTTTGGAACTGTTTCCTGTGAGCACATGCTGGGGTCTCCCCTTTCTTCTCTCGCTCAGGTGAATCTCAGCCCCTTCTCCCACCCAAAGGTTCACATAGATCCTAACTACTGCCACCCTTCCACCTCCCTACCCCTGTGCTCCCTGGCCTGGTCCCTTACCAGGCTTCTTCGCCCTCCCCTGTCTCCAGGTATTTCCCAGGTGGTGAAGGACCACGTGACCAAGCCTACTGCCATGGCCCAGGGCCGAGTGGCTCACCTCATTGAGTGGAAGGGCTGGAGCAAGCCGAGTGACTCGCCTGCTGCCCTGGAATCAGCCTTTTCCTCCTATTCGGACCTCAGCGAGGGCGAACAAGAGGCTCGCTTTGCAGCAGGTGGATGGCAGAAAGGGAATAAGTTACACTCTTGCCACAGGGCTGCTTTTTTTTTTTTTTGAGACGGAGTCTCACTCTGTCGCCCAGGCTGTAGTGCAGTGACGCAATCTCAGCTCACTGCAACCTCTGCCACTCCAGTTCAAGAGATTCTCCTGCCTCAGCCTCCCGAGTAGCTGGGATTACAGGTACCTGCCACCGTGCCTGGCTAATTTTTGTAGCTTTAGTAGAGACGGGATTTCACCGTCTTGGCCAGGCTGGTCTTGAACTCCTGACCTAGTGATCCACCTGCCTCAGCCTCCCAAAGTGCTGGGATTACAGGTGTGAGCCACCGCACCCGGCCAGGGCTGCTTTCTTGTCTCCTCAGGTCTGACGTGGGGGTTGGAGTCTTCCCATACCGTTTCTCCTCTCTCCTGTCTCCAAGCTGAGCCCTAGACTTAGCTCACCTTCTCTGCTTATGTGTTCTGTCCCTGCGACAGGAGTGGCTGAGCAGTTTGCCATCGCGGAAGCCAAACTCCGAGCGTGGTCTTCTGTGGATGGCGAGGACTCCACTGATGACTCCTATGATGAGGACTTTGCTGGGGGAATGGACACAGGTGAGGGACATCCTGGGCTATTGCTGTGGTGGATCCGCCTGATAGACCTTGGGATTCATTCAGAGCCACACCCAGAACACTCAGCCTTTGGAAGGGCAGGGGAGAGGGGCAGACTCAGTCCAGGCAGGCCTGGACACTCCAGGGACAGGAAGGCTGTCCACACTCACGGGTGGGAAATGAGCAGACAGAAATGGAGTTGTTCCTTTCCCACAGGTGCTGAGGCCTCTCTGCCTGTCTGCACAGTTGTGCCTTGCAGTCCTCAAAAAAAAAAACAAAAAACAAAAAACAAAAAGACCTCAAGGACACCTTCTGTGCAGCCACGTCTCTGGGAGGGTCTGCAATGCCTTTGCCTTTTCCTCTCCAAGGCAGGCTTCTGGCTGGCTGTGGCAGGGCAGATGAGTTGCAGTGCACAGCCCAGCACCTTGCAGGGCTGCATCCCAGGTCAACAGGAAGGCATGCTGGGCCTAGAACACCTACGGGGCCGTGCTGGCTCCAATTCAGCATCCTTGCGTTCCAGCCTGTGGGCCTTTCTCCGGGCCAGTGCTTGCAGCGGGGACCCTGCAGGGCTCTGCAGCTGTGTTCAGCTCTCTCATCTTTCATTCCCTAGACCACATGGCTGACTTTCTCTGTAGCTTCTGGGCTCAAGTCTCACAGGCCACCATTCCCCACAACCTCTTTGCCTTTGAAGATTACCTCTACCATCCCCTACCCCTCCAGTGAATTAATAAGTTCTCCAAGGCAGGCAATACATGAGAGCAGGTTGGAAACTGCTGCTGTGGTCTGGGGGGTTGATTTGGATGTCTGAAGCCAAGATGGAACCTTAAACCACAGGCATTTTTGTTTGATTGAGTTCCAGGCCTACTTTGACCCCTGGAGTAATGATAATAACTAACATTTATCCAAGGCTGCTACTAGCCCATGTGGAATCTTTGTGCAAATTTAAAAAAGGCACCCCTTTCTCTGGCAGGCCAGGGCATGCTGCTTGGTGAGCAGAGTATGGGTTAGATTTTGCTATCTCTCACTGCCTTGGACAGGCCCTGTTGTGTGATGAGCAACCTGTATGGCCATATGTGGTGACCCTGCATTTACTGCTTGTTTACTGTGTGCCAGACACTTTTTCTTTTTTTTGAGATGGAGTTTCACTCTTGTTGCCCAGGCTGGAGAGCAATGGCACAATGTCAGTTCACTGCAACCTCTGCCTCCCAGGTTCAAGCAATTCTCCTGCCTCAGCCTCCCTAGTAGCTGGGATTATAGGCATGTGCCACCACGCCCAGCTGATTTTGTATTTTTAGTAGAGATGGGGTTTCTCCATGTTGGTCATGGATCCCTGAGATCCTTACCTCAGGTGATCCACCTGCCTCGGCCTCCCAAAGTACTGGGATTGCAGGCGTGAGCCACCACACCCGACTGTGTGCCAGACTCTTGTTCTTGTATTGTTAGAATCTCCATCTCACCATTAAGGAAACTGAGGTCTCAAAAAGTTGTGACTGGTTCAAGGTTACCCAGCACCTACCTACCAGCCCCAGAGCTATGCCAGGGGTGGAGTGGGGCGAATGTGGCTTCCAGGTTGGCCAATTGAAATGAAGCCAGCAGGACTATCTTCTTTTCTCTTCCCCTCACAGACATGGCTGGGCAGCTGCCCCTGGGGCCCCACCTCCAGGACCTGTTCACCGGCCACCGGTTCTCCCGACCTGTGCGCCAGGGCTCCGTGGAGCCTGAGAGCGACTGCTCGCAGACCGTGTCCCCAGACACCCTGTGCTCTAGTCTGTGCAGCCTGGAGGATGGGCTGTTGGGCTCCCCAGCCCGGCTGGCCTCCCAGCTGCTGGGCGATGAGCTGCTTCTCGCCAAACTGCCCCCCAGCCGGGAAAGTGCCTTCCGCAGCCTGGGCCCACTGGAGACCCAGGACTCGCTCTACAACTCGCCCCTCACGGAGTCCTGCCTTTCCCCCGCTGAGGAGGAGCCAGCCCCCTGCAAGGACTGCCAGCCGCTCTGCCCACCACTAGTAGGCAGCTGGGAACGGCAGCGACAAGCCTCTGACGTGGCCTCTTCTGGGGTGGTGTCCTTAGATGAGGATGAGCCAGAGGAACAGTGACCCACATCATGCCTGGTGGTGGCATGCATCCCCTGGCTGCTGCTAGGGGCAGAGTCTCTGTGCCCAAGTGTGGGCTCAAGGCTCCCAGCAGAGCTCCACAGCCTAGAGGGCTCCTGGGAGCGCTCGCTTCTCCATTGTGTGTTTTGCATGAAAGTGTTTGGAGAGGAGGCAGGGGCTGGGCTGGGGGCGCATGTCCTGCCCCCACTCCCGGGGCTTGCCGGGGGTTGCCCGGGGCCTCTGGGGCATGGCTACAGCTGTGGCAGACAGTGATGTTCATGTTCTTAAATCAAAATGTCACACACACATTTCCTCCTCGGATGATGTGAACCACTAAGGGGGTTGTGACTGGGCTGTGGGGGGGTGGGGTGGGAGGGGGCCCGGCTACCCCCTACCCTCCCCATGCCTCTCTCTTCTCTGCTTTTCTTCTCACTTCCGAGTCCACGTGCAGTGCTTGATAGAATCACTCCCACCTGGAGGGGCTGGCTCTTGCCCTCCCGGAGCCTATGGGTTGAGCCGTCCCCCAAGGCCCCCTGCCCAGCTGGGCTTGTGCTGTGCTTCATTCACCTCTCCATAGTCTCTAAATCTTCCTCTTTTTTCCTAAAGACAGAAGGGTTTTGGTCTGTTTTTTCAGTCGGAGCTTCTCTACTCTGAGAGGCTTTGGAATGATGAAAGCATGTACCCTCCACCCTTCTCCTGGCCCCCTAATGGGGCCTGGGCCCTTTCCCAACCCCTCCTAGGATGTGTGGGCAGTGTCCTGGCGCCTCACAGCCAGCTGGGCTGCCCATTCACGCAGAGCTCTCTGAACCGGAGGTGGAAGAAAGGATGGCTCTGGTTGCCACAGAGCTAGGACTTCATGTTCTTCTAGAGAGGGCCACAAGAGGGCCACAGGGGTGGCCGGGAGTTGTCAGCTGATGCCTGCTGAGGGGCAGGAATCGTGCCAGTGAGTGACAGTCATGAGGGAGTGTCTCTCCTTGGGGAGGAAATAAGGTAGAGCCTTTCTGTCTGAATGAAAGGCCAAGGCTACAGTACAGGGGCCCCGCCCCAGCCAGGGTGTTAATGACCACGCAGTGGAGGCCTCTGGCAGATCCTGCATTCCAAGGTCACTGGACTCTAGGTTTTTGTGGTTGTGGGAAGGGTGGGTGGCTTTAGAATGAAGGGCCTTGTAGGCTTTGGCAGGTAAGAAGGCCCAAGGTAAGAACGAGAGCCAATGGGCATAAGCATTCTATATATAAGTGGCTCATTAGGTGTTTATTTTGTTCTATTTAAGAATTTGTTTTATTAAATTAATATAAAAATCTTTGTAAATCTCTATATACATCTGGTCATTGAAGTTCCAGTTATAAACCCATCTTAGTTCCACCCCTTTCCCCTCAAAGGGGGAGCAGGGGTCAAGTGACCCCAACCTCATCCTGCCAGGGCAGGGCTGATCTTCCTGCCCCTGGAAAAGTTGCTGTAGGTGGGCAGTGGGTCAGATTCCAGGTAGGATAAACTGGGAGAAGCTGGCACCCCAGGTCTGGAGGGGGCTGGGGTATAGCCTCCGGCTGTAGCTGCCTCCTGCCTTCCCAAGGCAGAAGGAATGAGAGATGCACATTCTGGGATGACGGGCATGGCTAGCACCATCCTAGGCCACCCACGAGGGGCTCATTGGCATTTGTCATCGCTGTCGGAAGGGCTGCCCTCCCGGGGGAGGCCATGACGGGAGTGGGGTCCCCAGAGTGCATGCACCTCAGTGGTCTCCGTGTCACTGCTGCTGGTGGCACTGTCTCGGAAGCTGGCGAGGGGCGGCCGAACTTTCACACCCTGTGCTGTGACAGAGCCCTCGATAGCCTTCCGGAGCTGGAAAGGTGAGAGGGACAGATGTCTGGACCCAGAGCTCCTGGCTCAGACTCCTCCCTACCTTCCTCCCCAGGTGAGCTGGACATAAGCTTCCATGCCTTTTTGGAAGTGGAGCAGTTTTGGAGGCCACCATCACCTCACCTCCTTTAGAGTAACGATTCCAATGAGTCTGCCAATACTGGTGACATAAGCATGGTCCACTCCCAGCAGTGAGAAGATGGTGTGAGTCTGCAGTGTGGGAAGAAAAGAGATTGGACTTGATGGACAATGGGCAGCTCTAAATGACAGGCCACAGGGGCCCAGGACAAGGTTGGTGTGGAATAGAAGGGGTGCCACAGATTGGGAGGGAAGGAGACAGGACTGCTGGAGGGAAAATAATGACAATAGTAATAATAGAATGTTTCTGTGTCCAGGCCTCAGAAACTTGATACTCAAAATCCTTATGTTGCTTATATTGACGGAGAAATAGGATGGGGGAAGAATTCTTAGTCTCATGTTAGAAAGGGGGATGCAGGACAGAACAACTCTTCACATGTGAAATCTAGTGATTGGCCAGGCTCCATGCTAGATCTTCATTATCATTTAATTCCAGTACTGTCCTGAGAACTAAGCATTAGGAGAAGCAGCATGGGGCTCAACAGTGAAGTGACTTGTTCCGGGCAGGTCATCAGGAGTGGCTGTGCAGCCCCAGTCACTTTTCATCACACTAGAGAGGGACACACAACCCCAGTCCTGTTTAGTAGCAGATATACCGAGAAGAGAGTCCACACACACCTTAAGGGCACCGGGGCCCTGAATCCTATGCCTCTCGTTCCACTGCTTCTCAGTTGCCCTCCTACCTGGCTGGCCAGGTTTGGAGTCTCCCGTGCTCTGGCATTCCAGTCTTGGCCTGAAGCATGCTATGCTCTCATACAGTCTGCCTTTTCTAGGGTCCAAGCAGTATCCCAAGTTCTGTTGAGATGCAGCTTGCAGTCCAGGAGGACAATGGTCACCCCCATCTTCCCATGTTTTTCTTGCTTTGAGCCCTCCCCTAAGCTTTCAAATATCATCACCAGCGGTTCAGAAACTGTCAGCCAGTTCTCCTTATGCTTTCAGTAGATTTTCTTGGGGCCAGATGTCTTGAAAAATGCTCTCCTGACTCAGCAGTTCCTGGAATTTTTGGCCTATCATTTATCTCACTGTTCTGAGTTTACTTGTAAGCCTCTTGGCTTAATGTTTGAATCAAGACAAGCATAATAACAGCTTCTTGTGTACCAATTACTCAGAACTCACTTAAATTACCTTAACACTTTTAAAATGTTCTTACACATTTGAAATTCTTTAGGGAAGGATTTCCAGAACCTTCCTAAATTTCTCCACCCATGGCATGATAGTACTTAGAGGGGCAAGAAGTTCAATTTTAGAATAAGCTCTTCTGGGCGCAACAGCTCATACCTGTAATCCTAGCACTCTGGGAGGCCAAGGTGGATAGAATGTTGAGCCCAGGAGTTTGAGACTAGCCTGCAACATGTGAAACCCTGTCTCTACAAAAAGCCAGACATGGTGGTGCATGCTTGTAGTCCCAGCTACTTGGGGGGCTGAGTTGGGAGGATCACCTGAGCCCAGGAGGCAGAGGCTATAGTGAGCCATGATCATGCCACTGCACTCCAGCTTGGGTGACAGAGTGAGACCCTGTCTAAAAAAAAAAAAAAAAAAAAAAAAAAAAGTTCTTCTGTGTTCCTTCAATACCTATAACACAGTTGTCATGTGGTTAGCGATTCCTCCTCCTATCTAACTTGAGTCCTGTGTGCTACAAGTTAGCTTTAATTTCCTTGTCTGACTTCAGAGGGAAACCTTTTTATTATAAGGTTTCCTGTGTTAATAATCCCTTAGACTTGTCTTCTTATGGTCAAATAACCCCTCTCATCTTCTCCCAAGGAGCCTATTAAATAGTTCCCTTGAATTTTCTTTTTCTCCACAATCGTAATCAGGTGAGCTTCTGGCTGGTGATATGCCTTTCAGGTTTGCAAACCACTTGCCCCTGACAGTCACCAAGCCTTACCAATCCATTTCCTGAACATCCTGGCCATTACTGACTCTAGCCTCACTATCCTCACAAAGACTGGGGCTGCAACAGCCTGATGGGTTCTCCTTTCTGCCTCCCTTCCCTCCAGTCTGGCCCTGCTTATCCTATGCACTTTGTCAAACCTGAGTACAGCCCAGACTCCCTAGAAGGCCCATGAGACCCTTCCCAAGCCAACTCCAGCCTGTCTTTGTAGCCTCACATTCTACTGTGCACTCTAGCTTCCAGCCTCCAGCTTCACATAATCACTCTTCTTTTTCTGAAAACATTCATTTCTTCCACACTTCAGCTCTTCTCTCATTTTTTTAAACATTTTTTTTAGTTAAAAAAATTTTTTTTGGCCGAGTGCAGTGGCTCATGCCTGGCCAATATGGTAAAACCCTATCTCTACTAAAAATATAAAAACTTAGCCGGGCGTGGTAGCACGCTCCTGTAATCCTGGCTACTCGGGAGGCTGAGGCAGGAGAATCACTTGAACCTGGGAGGTGGAGGTTGCAGTGAGCCAAGATCACACCACTGTACTCCAGCCTGGTGACAGAGTGAGATTCTGTCTAAAAATAAATAAATAAATAAATAAATAAATAAATAAATAAATAAATAAAATTTTTTGGTTAGAAGACAGTCTTGCTATGTTGTCCAGGTTGGACTTGAACTCCTGGACTCATGCAGTCCTCCCACCTCAGCCTCCTGAGTAGCTGGGACTACAGGTGTGCACCACCAGGCCCAGCATATGCTATCTTTTAAAATTCATCTCTCGGTATAAGTAGTAGTAGTAGTAACAGTAATTCCTAACATATATTGAGTATTTACTGTGTGTTAGGCCCTATTGTAAGTGCTTCACATGTTTCAAGTCCTGTAATTCTTAGAAAACTCAGTGAGGTGTGATCCCCATTTTATAGATTGGGAAAGTGAAGCACAGAGAGGCTAAGAAACTTACCAAGGTACACAGCAAGCCAGCATGTAGCATAGTGAGGATTTGGGTTCAGCTGGTCTGGCCCTAGCATTGGCCCCACTCTGGCCTTTACCATTGCTTCTCCGTGGGTGGCTTCTGAATGAATTAATTATTAGCTGGCACAGTGATCTCCAGTTGCACGGGTTCCTAAGTAGTCTCCAATGTTTTCTCTCTTATCTGAATGTTCCCCTCCTGAACTTAATTATGTGACTACCTATTGATTCCTCAGGCCTGTAAGGACATTTTGAATTCTAATCTTTTATGTTCTTATCACTTCTAGTTCTTTGTACTTTTGTAAGTTGGTTCCTCAAAGGCTTCTTCTCTTCCTCTGATTTTCAAGTTTGTAACAAATGTCTACTTTGTTCTTTTTCATTTGATTTAATTAGACATCACAGAACCCATTGGAGGGCCCATACTTCTTGGGCTTGGGAATAGTGAACTGACACGGAGAGGGACAACATGGCCTTCTGAAAGAATCCTGGGAGCAGGGCCAGGAAATCTGGGCTCTGGGCCTGACTCTGCTGGGCTGACTCAGGCACATTACCTCCGCACTGCATGCCTCAGTTTCCCTGTGTATTAATATGGTTAAGACCACAGGCTTTTGAGTCAGACCATCCTAGATTCCAGGCCCAGTTCTGCTAATTATTATTATTTTTTTGAGATGGAGTTTCGCTCTTGTCATCCATGCTGGAGTGCAGTGTCATGATCTCGGCTCACTGCAACCTCCACCTCCCACGTTCAAGCAATTCTCCTGTCTCAGCCTCCCAAGTGGCTGGGATTACAGGTGCCAGCCACCACACCTGGCTAATTTTTTGTATTTTTAGTAGAGATGGAGTTTCACCATGTTGGCCAAGCTGGTCTCGAACTGCTGACCTCAAGTGATCCACCTGCCACAGCCTCCCAAAGTGCTGGGATTACAGGCGTGAGCTACTGCACCAGTTCTGCTACTTATTAGCTGTGTGTCCTTGTGCAACTTGCTCAACCTCTCTGAATCTCAATTTTCTCATCTATGAAAACTGGAACAGCATAATATCTAATAGTGTGGTTGTGATGATTCAACACTTGAAGAGCTTAGCACAGTGTCTAGCACATAGCAAGCATTCGAAAAATGTCAGCATGATCATCATCATGAAAGTCTGAGGAGTAAGATCATTGTGGAAAAGCCTCAGAGGTTTTGGGAAGAAAGGCTTTAGATAAAAACCCTCTCAGGCCTATTACCTTTTTTCTTGCAACTGCATTGCAGTTTGCCACTCATCCAAGGACTTCCACGTTCCTTTATTACCTTTTACCTTTTTGTTTCTCTTTTGTCCCCTATGCTTCCTGCCGTAGTCTCCACTTGTCCATGCTATGCTGGCTCTTAGGCAAAGTCTGTGTGTAAGCTAAATGCCCAAGCTGCAGGTTTTGGGCATGTCTACCTGCTGCTTATCCCCTCCCCCAAACCCCCCAACACTTCAAGGCTTGTACATTATGCCTGTCAAAAATTTAGCTAGAACACCCCTTGGCTTCTGCTGGGTCCCAGGAGCCACTTTACCAATGCAGGCTGCCCTCCTTAGGAGTCCTGGAAGCAGAGAGCTCCTGGCCTCCTCTGGTGTCTGCCTCACCCACCACCAGGCAGTCTACTCAGTTCCTCGCCCCCATTGCTACAGGCTGCTTTGCAGTTCTGCTGAGCCATCTTCCTGCGTCCCCACCAGTTTTCCTTCGGCCCACATTAAGGCAGACTTTCTGGGGTCTGACATTCCAAGCCCCCCACTGGGTGTTTCTCATCTTTGTTTATCTCTTCTCTGCAGTCTCCCCACCCCTACTTGGATGTTTGTTAGCTTGTTTATTGGATTTTCTTATCCTGCCTGTTTCTCACCCATTTTTTTCCGCATGGGCGTATCAACCTTGTTGGGCTGTGGTGGCCTCCTGCCTAGCTCTGACCCTGGGCTGGCCTTCTGGCTTCCACCCAGCTCAAGCCCTGTCTTTGTTGCTTCTTTGGTCCAGAGTTCCCTCGAGGGCAAGGCTGAGCAGAGGAAAAACGATGCCTGGCTCCACCACAGAGCAGGAGGCGGCTGTTCCCACCTCCTATCATCCAAGCAATATGTCTAAAAACATCTCAGCACTGAGCCAACTCCCTTCTCCTCCCTCCTTCCCCACTGGCCTGAGTCCAAACTTGTAGGGGGACCAAGATCCCCACTGTGTCCTGAGAGCCCAGGCCAGCCCTGGGCCAGGCTGCTGGCCCTACCTTGTGCAAAGAGGTCCGCTCCACCAGCTGGAAGGGAGCAGGATCAATTTTGCAGTCACTGAAGTTGACAGGTTCATCTAGTTGTTGCTCCTCCCACTCCAGAATCTGAGGGGAAGAGACTATGAGGGTTAGGGAGAAGGTGCCTGTTGCTGACCTCACCTCCCTGAAAGCTGACTTGCCCTTTTTCCAACCCTGTGGTCCCTCCCATGGGGACAGCAGCCAACATGATGACTGAACACACCCAGAAAGAAACAGGGTCCAGAGTCCAGTGGCACCTTACCTCTTCAGGGCTCATCTCGCCTTCCAGGTCCGCGTCACTCTAGTAGAGAGGGAGGGAGGCTGGCAGCTAGGGGCTCTGGAGTTTATCCAGCCTAGACCCTGCCCTCCCTGCCTGGTGCCCCCGAGCTGCTGGAAGAGCAGGCATACTTACTGCCAGGGAGATTCGGACCCGCTTCAGCTTGCGCTTCTCACAGGATTCCAACTTCTTCAATTTTGTTAGAGCCAAATCAGAAAGATGAGGAGTTGAGGTTATAGGGAAAGGGGAGGTGAGAGGAAGTGGTAGAGCCCAGGGGGAAGGGCATGCCACAGGACCCGAGCTGACAGCAGGGAGGGCCGAAGGGCAGGGAGAATAGAGGCAGGCACTGCAGGGTTACTGATGTGGTCTCAGCATTGGCGAGGGAGCTGGGGAAAAAGCAAGCTAGGAGGAGAGGCTCCAATCACTCACCTCTGAAGCAGCTTCAGGGGGTGGACTGCCACAGAAGAGGCTCCGGAGGGCGATGCCTGCCGACTCCGCGCTTCCTGTGTTCCCAAACATAAGGCCCCAGGGGGCAGTGTCATCTTTGGGGGAGAGGACCAGGAAAGGTAAGGAAGACAGGGGGAGAGGTATCATAGTTCCAGCCCTGGCCCATGTGGGCAGCCTCTTCCAGCTGGGATATGCCCCAGCAACAGGGCTGGGCAGGGACTCTAATGGATCTCAGTAGCTTGGCTGAGGCTCTGTTGACACAGGAGAGATGGGCTTACCTGTGGGACTCTCTCCAAGGTTCCTGGTGACACTGGGCCCCCTCTTGAGTGCAGGCTTTAGGGGCTTGTGGGTCTCCCCCCGGGCTGCCGGGAAGCCTGAGTCTTCTGTGTTCACCTGCATGGGCAGGAAGGGGCTGGTGGGGCCATGGCCCCAGACCACCCTCCCAATCAGTCTACACACAGACATTTAGGAAGTGTTTGTGGCTTCTCCTCTCACCTGGAAGCAGACAGAAGCCTCAGGGCTAGGGAGACCCTCCTGATCAGGTGGTGGAGAGGTCTGGGTGGCTCTGCGCTCCTGCATGTGCTGCCGCCGGCGGGCTGGGCTCAGCTGGGCCCCCAGCAATGCCACCACCTGTGAACGCTCGATGGAACCCAGCAGAATCATGGACTCTGGACAGAACAGGTGGAAGGACTCAGGAGCTGAGAGGGAGCCCTCCAGCCCCGTCCTTCTCTCACACTCAAGAGTGGGGCCTTGCATTCAGGCCACACACCAGAGGGAAGCCCCCACCTGGCAAGTGCTGGCCCATTCCCTTTGGAACCAAGGAGACCAGTCCTGAGCTCCCTGCCCCTTCCCGAAGCTTCGACCCTTGGAGATGCCCCTAGCACCTGGGCCCCCTCCTGGCCTCACCAGGGGACTCCACTAGGGCCAGCATTCGGCCCTTGGTCCTGTGCAGTGCCAACCGCAGGTCCCGGAAGGTGCAGCTGAGGGCCACATGGGGAACATCCCGCACCATGATGTCCTCCACACGCACCCGGTACTGCCTGGGGGCCGAGAGGGGCGCTTGGTTTATGGTCAGCATGGGGAGAGTTGCCCAGAGCATTACCATCCCAGGGCCACAAGGAGGGCTCCAGAGCCCATCCATGGGGATGGGGGCTAAGGGCCAAGGGGTGCTCCCACCCTTCTTTCTGAACAGCAGGGGCCAGCTACAGTCCCTCCGGGGTGTGGACGAAGGTGGCTCATCTCCCAGCTTCAAAGCCTCCAGGACCTTGCTGGAGGTGGGTATAGGGGGATCTAGGATGCCCTCTGCCCCTCACCCACAGCCCCCTTGGCACCCAGCCCTCCGTACTGGTGGCGGCCCCAGCCCAGCTCAGGCAGGTAGGGCAGTTTCTTGATTCGGATGATGCTGTCATAGAGGGAGGGCTGTAGACTCTGGGCGACAGCGTTAGCCAGGATGACGGCGATCATGACAGGCAGGATATGGGCAATCTGGCCTGTGAGCTCGAACACGATCACAGCCGTGGACACTGTGTGTGTCACCGCTCCTGCCAACGCAGCCGCCCCTGGGGATGGTCACACTCAGTCTCCTCAGGGTGCCCAGGCCCCAGAAGACTCTCCACAACCAGGGCAGGTCCTGAGTGGGTCCCTCAGGGCTGCCCAATACAGTCCTGGGACTGGGCCTGTGCTTCTGATGGAAGCCTGCTTTCTGCCAGCAGGGGGCACCAGAGTCTCAGACCCTGTGGCTGGGGCGTGGGTGGGGGGGTCTTCCAAGGCTGATGGGACCTGAGGCACTTACCAACCACAGCGTAGCCCCCAGGCACAATCCGGTAGGTGCTGCTGTCTGTATGAATTCCATCTGGGAACCAGGCGGCCATGCTTTCGCCCACCAGACGCCCAAATGCTGCTCCTTCAGGGAGGGGGGTGGGAAGAGAAAGAGGCAGTGGAGGGGGAGGGCAGAGGGCACTAGGAAGAGAGAGGGTCAGAGGGTGAGGGAGGGGCCAGTGGGTCATTCAGTGCAGGGCACAGCCCTGCGGGGTCAGGGTTCAGGCTAGGGCTGGACCAAAAACCCGCTCTTGGGCAGAGGGATGGCCCGGGGGCGGCCAGAGGGTAGGGAAGGTGCAGGCCAGGATAGCAAGCAGCTGAGAACTCACCAATGACAAAGACAGGCATGAAGGCGCCACAGGGAACTGGGATGGTGGTGGCCAGTGCAGACATCCAGAACTGCGGGCAGGGGGTGGTTCAAAGGCGAAGAGGCTCCACCTGGCCCCAGGTAGCCCACAACTCCACCCAGGAGAAGTCTACCTCCCTGGTCAGGTAGGCATAACCCTCCCAACTACCCCATAATCCTCCCAGCTACCCCGGAACCCCCAGGCCTCCCAGGTGATGGCAAGGGGAAGGACCCTGGAAGCAGATGGCTTGGGTTCAGATCATCGCTCTGCCCTCTAGCTGTGTGACTTTGGGCCAGCTACTTCACCTCCTTGTATTTTGACTCCCCATCTTTCAAATGGGGCTAAAAATAGTGCCTTTCCCATGTCACTGTGGAGAGGCTTCAAGCAGTGAGCCCTGCATGGCAGGTGCTTAGAAAGGCAAGCTATGTAAAGGTTAGCAGTGTACACATGAGGAGCCCACCTTCATGAGAATGAAGATGACCAGGGTGAGGAAGACGTTGGCACGTGGTGGGTTCCAGGCCTGTGAGGTGCTGGGTAGTTCTAGCTCCTCCACCAGGCCCTGGTGGACCCACGTCCGATTGTCAAACAGGGTGACCAGCGTCTCTTTCTGTGAGAGCTAGAATGAACAGGGTGCCTCAGGCTGGGGAACCAACAGGATGAAGGGAAGAGGCCATGGCATCCCATGGGGAACAAGGGGTCCCACAGTCACACCGGGGCTGTTGGCTTTGGAGGGAATGCCTTCCAAGGGAAAGCACAAACTCCTGTTCTGCCTGTGGTTACCTGTCCAGCCATGAACTGTCCAAAGCCAGGGGGGAAGGTCAGCGTGGAGATGAGCAGCGTCACCAGAGCCGGGAAGAGCAGGCGTCTAGAGTCGTAGGTTTCACATCAGTCGTGGGTGGCCAAGGGCTGGGTGCCCTCGCATATCTCAGGGCTGAGGTCAGAGCAGAGCCTTGGCTCTTTCATGAAAACACTCAGTCCTGACAGAAGGTCTCCTCTGCTGTTTATGATATGATAGCCCCAAGGGTGATGGTGGACTGGAGTTACTCTAAGTGCAGGGGTCTGACCCAAAGACCTTTCTGTCAGCCCCTGACTCTGTAGGTGGGTAGCAGCAGCAGAAAGTCCATCCTCCAAGCCCTCCCTGGGGCCCCTCCGAGTTGTTATTCCACCCTCCGACCTCAGAAGCCCATCTGAAGGGCATATTGTGTGGTGGGGTGGAGAAGTTTCTGCCTCTATTTGTCTCTCTGCGGTGACTTAGAGTGAAGGTCAATGTTGGGGGAAGGTGGGGTCACTTGTGAAGTTGACCAGAGGTGTGTAGGGAGCAGGTTCAGCTGGGTGCCCTCTCTCTGAAGGATGTCAGTCCCAAGGGAAGTCATGTCTCAGGCCTCCTCACTCCCAATTCTCAGGGTCACACTGACAGAGTTGTGTTCTGGAGATAAAAAAAAAATCTCGGCCATGCACAGTGGCTCATGCCTGTAATCCCAGCACTTCGGGAGGCTGAGGTGGGCGGACCTGAGGTCAGGAGTTTGAGACCAGCCTGACCAACATGGCAAAACACCATCTCTAATAAAAAATACAAAATTAGCCAGGCATGGTAGCACATGCCTGTAATCCCAGCTACTTGGGAGGCTGAGGCAGGAGAATAGCTTGAACTCAGGAGGTGGAGGTTGCAGTGAGCCGAGATCGCACCATTGCACTCCAGCCTGGACAACGAGAGTGAAACTCCGTCTCAAAAAAAAAAAAAAAAAACGCCAAGAAATCTCGTCCATACTCATGGGTCATGGGGGCAAACAGGCTCAAACACTCTCCAGGGAGCATTCCTATATGGGCCAGGCCAGCGGACCTGAGGAGGCCTTAGTCTTTGATTCCCAAATGTCCTCTGCCACTGACTATAAACTTAAAAGTGCCAATTTTCAGGTAGTTCATATGAACATAAAAATGCTCACTCAGCCTGGAAAATACCCTGGCTGATTTCTCAGGGGAGTGCCTGTTTTGACTGGGTCACTCTCTCGCCATCACTGTCCCCTGACCTACTGCGGCCCTTATACAACCCAAAGCAGCCTGGAGAGGAGCCGAGAGCCACTCACTTCCTCATGAGGAAGCGATTGATGGTTTTCTGCTTCCGCATCACCTGGACAATCTTCCGGTTCAGGTAGACAAAGAGGGCTCCACCGAAGCCACTAGCAATACTGGAAAGGGAAGAGGCACCCGACTGAACAGGAGTCTTCCAGAAATCCCCCCTCCTCTCCAACACCCCCAGGCCCCTTAGCTCCTCACCCAATGACAGCAAAGGCTGGCAGCTCCTGCAGGTCAAAGGGGAAGTCGAGCCGGAATCGGGTTTTGAAGAGGGCCGTAATAGTCTCTAAAGGGAAGAATAGCAGAGGGAGGCAGGCCTAGCCTTGTGGGCCCCCTACCTAGCACCATCTCGGGCTGCCCTTATCCCCTGGGTGCCCCCCACCTTCATCCCGGTTCCAGACTGCCAAGACCCGGAAGATGAAGGCGCTGAAGGTGGCAGCGAAGAAGCCCCGCCAGTAGTTCCGTACCGCGAAGAAGGTGGAGGTGACCTCGATGCTGAAGAGGACGCCTGTGAGGGGGAGGGAGACCGTCACTTGAGGCCTGGGCCTGGCCTAAGGCCTCGGACCCAGAGAAGAGGGGTCAAGGAGGAGAGGCCAAGGGCAGGGTTGTGGGGCTGGACAGACCTAGGAGCCCTGCCTACCTCCAATAGGTGCCGCAAAGCAGCAGCCCACCCCCACGGCACAGGCGGCAGCCAGCATCTCTGTGTTCCGGGATTCATTCTGGCGAGAGTGGTGGCAAGAGGGGGTCAGCCGTGGGCTCAGCAGCCTCTGCCCCCCACTTCCCTCAGGGTTCCCCTTACCTCATAGATACCCCCAAAGAGGGAGAGGAACTTGCTGAGAAGGGCAGCACACATGCTTGCGATATGCACAAAAGGGCCCTGCGGGGTGGGGCAGGCCGTGAGTCGGGAGGGGGCCCACCCTGACCTTGGCCTGGCCTCCTCTTCCACCAGGAGGGACTCCTTCATTCCCCAACCTGCAGTTACCTCTTTGCCAAGCGGCATTCCGCTGCCCAGGGCGCAGGTCAGCCCAATGACCTTAGCTATAAAGGTCTTGAGTGTGAGGTATTCTTTCAGCACCACCCCCCGCAAGATGGTCTTCATCTCAGGGATGCCAGAGCCTGGAGAGGGAACAGTCTCAGGAGAGGCATTCGGTGTGCCCATTTCGGGGGTCTCACCTCTGCCCTCCCCTTCTCTTCTAACATACCGACAGCCTGAGGGGCCAGGATCTGTGTGAATCCGGCTGAGAAAGTGATGAGGACAACAGGGTAGGTGACCCAGGCCAGGTACTGGAGTAAGATGCTAGTGTTCAAACCCCGGGACATCCACTGCTGGGCTGTGGGAAGATGACCTGCTGGACCCCCAGTGCACAGACCCACTACCTGCCTGGCCAGTGGACCACGCTGATATGACAGGCTGTCCCAAGGAATGCCACATGTCAGGGCATGGGGGAAGGAAAGGGTCCCTGAGGGCATTCACGGGGACAAAGCCCAACCTAGGCAAGAGGGTCACTTGGAGAGGGGACACAAGAAGCTGTACCCTATGGGAGTGGCTGAGAAGATGCCTGAATCTGGGCAGTCAGACTGGCTGGGGAAAGTGGTCAGTGGCCAAGAAGCCAAGATGCCTTCCTCCACGTCTAGATGAGTGTGGCATGGACGCAGGAGGTTTCTTCCCAGTCCTCCCCCTGCCGGCTGTCGCCCTCACCTTGCAGACAGGCAGCAATGGCATAGTCCATGGCCCAGCTGACCAATGCCATGAGGAGCCCCAGCAGGACCAGGAAGATCCAATCTTCACCAACCCTGGATACTAGGAATTTGTGGCAGCGGACAGAACAGACTGGATGCAGGGAAGGGAAGAAGCGGGAGGCTGGCACCAAAGTGCTCCTACCCCTTTTACGGCCCCCTCAACTGCCCCCTCTCCCCCATCAGCAGCTCTAATGGCCTCTGCTCCCCTCAGCATAGCACAGCCAGGTCCCTTGCCCCCAACCCAGTTCTCACTGCGGCATCGGGCACAACGGCTCCGTCCATATTCCAAGAGCTCTGGGGCAGCCCGAGGGGAAGGGGGACCTTTCCAGGGTTCAGGCCCTCCCAGGCGAATCCGAGCAGCTTCCTCTTTGGCAAAGGCCCCAAGGTCCTGAGTGTACCGGCCATACATCTGGAGCAACAGGAGGGATGGGGGCATTTGAGGTCATGGGCTGAGTGGGAATGCAGGGAGGGTTCTTAGAGCCTCCACTCCCCTTCTCCCAGCCCCCACATTGGATATCCCTCTTGAACGCACAGTTCCCACTCTGGCCCAAGGTGTGGGAACAATGCACATTGCAGACTGTGGGGGCTGTCCTGGCCAGAGTGATGGGGACAGCCAAGGTACAGGGACACAGCTCTGGGGGTGGCAGAATAATCGGTCCTCTTCTCACAGGCCTGGGGCTGGGGCACTGAGGAGGAGTGAGAGGGAAGCCCCAGAAGAGGAAAAGATGGAAAAAACCTGTGGCACAGTCTAAAAGTGGGAGGCGGGAAGGTCAGGGAGTAAGAGATGATCAAGGGCACAATAAGAGCCTCATGGAGCTCGGGGCAGCTGAGTTGGGCCCAGGAGCAGGCGCAGCCCCAATCCTTATCACGTTCCTGCTGGGCCTCTGGCCTGTGACCAACTCAGCTGCACCCCTCCCACCCACCCTAATCCCCTTGTCCCCATTCTCCACTGCCACCCCCACCAGCCTGCCAGCCCAGCTGGGAGTGGAAAGTCTCTTGCCTAGGGTGGAGAGGGCTTGGTGACTTCAGCCCCACTATGGAGCTGCACTGAGCCCAGTGGTGGGTTGGGGGACAGCGGAGGCTGAGGATGGCTGGGCTGTGACTGTGGATGCTGGGGTGATGGGACCGGAGAGTCGCCTGAACCATGGCTAGACCTGCCAAGCTGGGCGTGTGTTGGGGGGCGGGGAGGAGTAGATTCCGGCTGCCACCCGCAGAGCTTCGGGACACAAAGGGCTCCTGTTGGGGCTGGGATTGGAGGGGGGGAGGAAGGGAGGGAAAGATAGAGACAGAGAGAGGGTGAGAGATAGAGAGTGAGGAAAGGGAAAGCAAAGAGAAGAGAAGAGAGAACTAGAGAGGAGAAAGGAAAAGAAAAAAGAGAGGCAAGGTGAAGGGACAGAGAAGAGAAAGAAGGGGATGAGAGAGGAAGGAGTCGGGAGGAGGAAGAGAACGGAGAGTATTAAGAGGCAAGCACCGTGTAGGAGGAGGGAGGCTAGAGTGGGAGAGAAAGACAAAGGGACAGGATGGGGAAGGGGGGCGGGGGCAGGCTGGAGCACCGGAGTGCCGGGGACAGAGCTCGACCCTGAGAGCTCATTCCAGAGACAGCTGGAAGGCACGGAGATGGAGAGGTGGTGGCTGGTGTTAGGAGGCACCATTTCAGAGGCCAGGTGCCTGGCTTCCTTGACCATGCTCCTATCCTGGTCTGGGCCGATTGACAAGTGTCTCCTACCCCATCCCAAGGGTTGGCCCCTTTACCCTTGCTCTATTCCCACCTCTCCCTGTCATCCTGATTCATCCAGCTACTTTCTCCTAACTGGGCACCTCCCAGACTTAGTTACAGCCTCTCCTCCCCAAGACGTTCCCTCCCTGCCACCTTCCTGGGCAAATTCCAGCCCAAGCTGGTAAAAAGGAACCAGGGGCCCCTTCCTTTCCCTAGGGCTTGGGTCTTCCACCCCAGTGACATGAGGAGGGTCACGTGGCTTCTCAAACACCAAGTAACAATGGGGGCGATAAGTCGGCTCAGAGCCCAGGACCCCTGCTTCTAATGAGGTCAGGGGACACACCCAGCGGTGGGTGGGGGCTGGATACCCCACATCAGCATGGACAAAGCTTCCAATTCCCACACCCATTCCTGCTTCACCCACCCTCCCTAATGCTCCTGTCCCCCAGAGTGGCAAGCCACCTTTTTCCAGAGTCAACTGAGGGGCTCCTAGAGCCAACGCTGGGTGTGGAGCCCCCAGAGGTAGGGTCTGGGGTGGACCATCTTTCTACACACTAGATTCTATGCTTAGCATGGTGCCATGCACATGGCAGGGACACAGAGAATGTCTTGGGTGGTGGAAACTTCAATGGTGTGAATGGTGCCGCGGAAGGGGCAGTGGGGTGCTAAGACTTGGGCCCAAGTGGTGAAGGGGAGGAGCAAAGAAAATGTGCATGTTGGGGGGGTGAGGGGAAGGACACCTAGGACAAGTACCTGGTGTCCTTGTCCTCTGCAGGCCCTCAGCCTCAGCCAGAAACCAGCATGCAGTTTCCATCCCTTCGGCCCTGCAGCCTCAAACTTCCAAGCCTCAGTTTCCCCAGCTCAAAAGGCTGGGACAGGATTAGGGTAGGCCCCTGGTCCTCGCGCTTCTCAGGGTAACCTGGAGCGGCGGTCCCGGAGCGCACTCCTCGGGCTCAGCTCAGCTTCACTTACCAGGGTCTGCTCGTACTGCAGCGCCCGCGGCTCCATCCCTTCCTCCGCCGCCGCGGCCGCCATCTCCGCGCACTGCCCTCTCGCCTCCCTCAGCGGCTCCGGCTCTGTCCCGGACTCGGCTCCCGGCCCGCAGAGTCAGCGCAGGTAGCCGTCCCGTCCCCGCAGCTCGGGAGGCCGAGAGCAGAGTGCGGCGGGCCCCCGGCGGGCGCCGCTGGCGCAGCCTCCCGCTCGCGTCCCCTCCTCGGCGGGCGGGCCGAGGGCGGTGCCCTCTGCGCTGCTCCGCCCGCCGGCCCATCCGGAGGGGACGGCCCAGCCAGGCTGGGGTCCGTGCGGGGCCTCCCGAGAGGCGGCAAAGGGCGCTGGGAAGGCGTAAGCCCGCGCCGGCTCCCTGCAGAGGCCCGGGTCGGAGAGGGGCGCCTGGGAGGGGCGGGTCTACTGGCACGTGGAGGGGCCCACCCGGGTTCGCAGTTCCCAGTGCCCAGGCAGGACGGGCTGCAGACGCCTGAACTCCGTAGGGGTTGGGGCTGGGGGCTGCGGAGCTGTCTACATCGGATTCCTCCGGGTCAGCCCGTTAGGAGCCGCCTCCCCTCTGCCTCTCCGAAGGGACGAGCGGCCCAGACAGGCCCAGGAAGGCCCCTCTGCCCCGTCAGGGGTGAAAAGCAAAGCTGGGAGAATTCGGAGGGAATTGGAGCCGTCTTCCTCATCCTTCCTTTTCTCGGGGCTCCCCTGGGGAGGTGCACTTGGAGCAACCCGGCCTACGGGGTGTGCAGGGGTGGAGGTTGGGGAGGGCACCGGAAGGGGTAGGCCGGAGGGAAGGGAGCTCCAGGTGCCGGGAAGTCCACTTCTGGGACGCGGGCGTGGGTCGCTTCTCCCTGGTTGGGCCCAAGGAGGAACCAGAGTCGCTGCTTCCATCTCTCCGCTTTGGGGGAACCGCCTGCTGGTGCTCTGGGTTCTCTATCAGGGGCTGGGGAAGGATAGAACAGATGGCAGAACGCGCGCAGCGTGGATGGGCAGCCTAGAGATAGTGTGAGAGGAGCGAGGGCAGCGCCCAGGAAACGCACAAGTGTGCGGGACAGCCAGCACCAGGAGGAAGGGGCATTTGGGAGGCAGAGGAGGGCCTCAGGGGGCGGGGGCAGTGCCCGGGAAGGGGGAGCCTTGTGATAGAAGCCAGCAGGCAGGAGGAAGGGCCAGTGTGAGGGAAGAGCTGGTGTCCAAGGGACAGGGCAGTGCCAGGCTGAAGGGGCACGGAGGGGATCCGTGTCCAGGAGAAGGCAGTGGAGGACTAAGTTGGAGGGGTAATGCCCAGGGGAGGCGGGTGGCGGGAGCCAGGCTGAGGGGGCGGTGAGGGGGAAGACAGCAGGGCCTGGGGGAAGAGGGCAGTGGTGGGAGGGTGCAGTACGAGGGGAGGGGACAATACAGGCTTTCCTCTTCTCCATAGCGACATCATGGCAAATTCCCAAACTGGACGGATCCGGCTCGGGTTACATCCAGCAGGGCCAAGCCGGCCCAGGCAGGCCCCGGGGTCCGCGGTGCCGGCTGGAGGGGCTGGGCACCTCTGGGGCGGGGTTCTGCTCCACCTGCCCTCGGCGCGGACTGTGCCCTCGGCGGGCACGCAGACCGGCGGGGTAGGGCTAGGGCCCGGCTTCTCTGGGCCAAGGATCAAGGTCCCTGCCTGGGTTAGGCCCCCACGCATTCCAATCTTCGGGACCCGGCCTCTGAAGAGGGCGCAGCAGAGCCCCAGCTGAGCGCTAGAACCCGCACTACAGCCGCGGGAGGTTGGACCTATTGTTTCCCCGCCCTGGGCGGGGCCACCTGGACGTGAGACCCGCCCTCAACGCCGAAGCCTCTCGGGAGCAATCTTTTGGGGCGGAAGTTAAGTAGCCCCGAGCGAGAGTCTGTGGCGGAAGTGGTCGCGTTACCGCTTGTTTGTGCGCATGCGCCACTGTTGTCTGGCTGCCGCGCATGCAACAGCTGCTTTTGCTCTTCTCCCCTCTTCTGCACGAGAGGGTTTGCGCGTACTCCCAGCTGTGGTCGCCCGCTCACCCCTTCTGCTGCTCTCGTGGCCCCCTCGCGATGGCAGGCATCCTGTTTGAAGATATTTTCGATGTGAAGGATATTGACCCGGAGGGCAAGAAGTTTGACCGAGGTAAGTAAAGTACGTAGGGGCGATTTGGAGGAAGAGGCTAACCTCGCGGACATGCCCCTGGACCCCGTGTCCACCCAGCTCTTGTGGCCTGCCCCTACCAGCAGGTCCTGATGTAGGGACCTCCCTCAGGAAACATTTTATGGATGAGAAAAGGGAGACTCCCGAGCTTTCTCTGGCTTCACGCATGCCGTGCCCGGTGCCTGGGTGGCCTTTTGTCATGGTGCTGGCAAACTCCTGGGCATCTTTATAATCGCTACCTGCTCTGTGCTAGACACTGTCTTGTGAGACCAGCCTGGCCAACATGGTGAAACCCCGTCTCTACCAAAAATACAAAAATTACAGGCGGGCGCCTGTAATCCCAGCTACTTGGGAGGCTGAGGCAGGAGAATTGCCTGAACCTGGGAGGCGGAGGTTGCAGTGAGCCAAGATCGCGCCACTGCACTCCAGCCTGGCAACAGAGCGAGACTCCTCAAGAAAATGAGAGTCCTCATGAGGTGGGTGGTGCCTTCCCCATTTTTTTCTGAAAGAGTAATCCACCCAGGGCTTCACAGCGAGTAATCTGACTTCAGAGCCTATATTCTTGTATCTCATAATCCTTAGCGCTTTAAGTCTTCTCTGAGTTAGAGTTAGCTGCTTGGTATATCCCTTTTTTTTTTTTGAGACAGAGCCTCGAGCCCAGGCTGGAGTGTAGTGGCACGATCTTGGCTCACCACAACCTCCGTCTCCTGGGTTCAAGCGATTCTCTGCCTCAGCCTCCCAAGTAGCTGGGATTACAGACATGCTCCACCACGCCTGGCTAATTTTGTATTTTTAGTAGAGACGGGGTTTCACCACATTGGCCAGGCTGGTCTCGAACTCCTGACCTCAAGTGATCCACCTGCCTCGGCCTCCCAAAATGTTGGGATTACAGGCGTGAGCCACTCCACTGGCCTACACCTCTTTATTTTGTCATCTATCAATAATTTTCTCTTTGATGTCTCTTTCTTTGCCTGGAGACTCAGATGTTTTCAAGACGGATACCAGTTCTTATACATCTTGATAACTCCCCTCAGCACAGTGCCTGTCATAGAAAGAGGAAACCTTTGGATGATTGAATAACTTGCCCAGAGTCAGGTTCTCAGTCATCCAGGCAGGCCTAGAACCGGGTATTATTTGCTGCTGAAGTATCTTTGGTTGTTTTCTGGGGATTACGTTCACTTGCCACAGTTTTTCTCCCCTTTTCCTTGTTGCATGTCTGGTTCTGATGGAGCCTGCATTTCTATGAGAGCAGATGAGAGACCAGTGGTTGTAGACTGGGTTAGATTGAGTATTCTGTTGCATACAATCCCACACTGTAGGATCTGCCTTGGGCCTGGCAATACCTCTGTCACTCTTTTCCTGCTTCTCCCCAGTGTCTCGACTGCATTGTGAGAGTGAATCTTTCAAGATGGATCTAATCTTAGATGTAAACATTCAAATTTACCCTGTAGACTTGGGTAAGTATTGAACACAGACAATAATAAGAGGCATTTTGCCACTTCCGCTATTCTTCACTCTCTGATATTGCTGTTATTTTCAGGTGACAAGTTCCGGTTGGTCATAGCTAGTACCTTGTATGAAGATGGTACCCTGGATGATGGTGAATACAACCCCACTGATGATAGGCCTTCCAGGTGAGGGAGTGGAGAAGGTAATACTTGGATTATGCCTTGAGGACTAAGTAGATAAGTGATATAGAAAGACTCTTCTTTAATTCCTGGAATAAATGATGATCAGCAGAATCTGAGTAACCTTAAGGAAATTTCTACACTTAAGAATTCAAACAGGCCAGACACCGTGGCTCACACCTGTAATCTAAGCACTTTGGGAGGCCGAGCAGGAGGATTGCTTGAGTACAGGAGTTCAAGACCAGCCTGAGCAACATAGTGAAACCTCACTGCTACAAAAAAAAAAAAAAAAAAAAAAAAAAAAAAAAAAGGGCTGCACATGTTGTCATATGCCTGTAGTTCCAGCTACCTGGGAGGCTGAGGTGGGAGGATTGCCTGAGCCCAGGAGGTTGAGGCTGCAGTGAGCCATGATTGCACCACTGCAATCCAGCCTGGGCGACAGAGTGAGACCCTGTCTCAAAAAAAAAAAGAAAAAAATTCCAACAACTAGGTATTTATAACAGTGATTACATGCTTGTGAGTTGTAGCCTTTTGAAGGCTGAGGAGGTGACTGCTGAGTGACCTAGGCTATGTGGGTCTTGTGTCTTGGGAGGGAGCTTGGTGTGATGGAAAGACTTTGGCACCCCACTTGAGTTCATTTCTCAGCTCTATCACTTATTTGTTGAGTAACCTTAATCTCCTTCAGCCTGTTTCCCCATCAGTAGAATAGAGATGGTCATGCCTAGCTCACGGGGTTGCTGCAAGGACTAAATGACATCATGTCTGTTTGTAATGTGCCTGGTTTTTTCTTTCTTTTTTTTTTTTTAGACGGAGTCTTGTTATGTCGCCCAGACTGGAATGCAGTGGCTCAATCTCGGCTCACTACAAGCTCCGCTTCCTGGGTTCACGCCAGTCCCGAGTAGCTGGGACTACAGGCGCCCGCCACCACGCCCGGCTAGTTTTTTTATATTTTAGTAGAGATGGGGTTTCACTGTGTTAGCCAGGATGGTCTCGATTTCCTGACCTCGTGATCTGCCCGCCTCAGCCTCCCAAAGTGCTGGGATTACAGGCTTGATACACCGCGCCCAGCCGACCAGTAACCATTTTTAAATGAGATTTTTTATATTGTTAATTACTGTTAAGAATAACTTTGCTGCTATTGCTCCACAGGGCTGACCAATTTGAGTATGTAATGTATGGAAAAGTGTACAGGATTGAGGGAGATGAAACTTCTACTGAAGCAGCAACACGCCTGTAAGTTACATAATCTTATGAGGTTCTTTTCTCTCTCCGTGTTCGGAGACTTTGAGCTATGCTCCTGCTTCCTCTGTTGGGTCCCTCTCCTCAGGCACCTCAGACCTAGGTAGGAACTAGAAAGAAATGGTTCTGAGAGCAGTTTCCAGTCTGAAAGGTAGACTGCCCTTTGTCAGGCCCTCCTGGCCCAGCAGTCCAGATGAGAAACTGGTTATCTTACTGTGTAAAGTGCAAAGGAGACTTGCTTCTCCAGAAACAAATGCAGCATTAAGTGATAATCCTGTTAGGCTGTGTGTGTGTGTGTGTGTGTGTGTGTGTGTGTTTTGCTACTCTGTAACCCAATCCCTAGTTCCTTGGTTTTCCTGTCCAGCTATTTTTTCTTTTCTTTAAAATCTTATTAAAACAATATGTGCTTTTTGTAAGCAATTTGAAATGCAGAAGAGTAATGTGAAGAAGGAAAAAAAAAAGTCATCTGTAATTCCATACCCAGAGATAACCTTTTACATAGACTTCTTTGCATATCCTGGTGTTCTGTTTTTTCCTTTGAGACTGTGGTATTTATTATGTTTTCTTCTGCTCTTTTTGCTTAACATTATGTAAAATATGTTTCCCCATGTTAGTGTAAAGCTTTTCTTAAATGTTTTAATAGTTGCATAACATTTCAGTAAGTGGATACATCTTGATTCATTTGACCATTCCCCTGATTTGGGGCATATAGGTGTTTTCCACCTTCGCTAATATAAAGAACAGTGCCTTGCACATATCTGTACATTGATCTTGGTCAGAATTTTGGTTCCTAGTGACAAAACAGTAGAAAGATGCCTCTTCTTTTTCTTAGGCTGAGATGGAGAGCTGCTGAGTAGCAGTGCTCCAGACTCATGGGATGGGGCCTTCTGTTTCAGCTCTGCCTATGTGTCCTATGGGGGCCTGCTCATGAGGCTGCAGGGGGATGCCAACAACCTGCATGGATTCGAGGTGGATTCCAGAGTTTATCTCCTGATGAAGAAGCTAGCCTTCTGAACCTCGCCGGAAGCCAGCCTTGCTGCCTAGTCACTCAGGTCATCGGCATTGTTCAAGCCTGAGTGGCAGCCAGTCTTGCTCACCTGTTGAGGAGGGGCTGGCTCACTGTCCACTGTGGTGGCATCTTTAACTGGCCTGCACTCAAAGGGAAACTGACTCGCCTGTGAAAGACAGTGGGAAAGCTGCATATGAATCAGAAGCTTTGTGTATATGATTTTTAAATTAAACTTTACTTTTTCAGACTGCCCCTCCCCTTTTTGTAAAAAGTTCATTTACTGTAAAATCATTTTTTGCAATTTGTCTGTGGTGTACTGTTTCTGGTCCACAGCCAGCTGATCACTTGTCAATGTAGGATCTATTCCAGCCTTTTGGTATCTGGGTTCAGGGTTATCTCAGTCTCCTGGCTGACTGTTCTCAACATTTATCCTCCAATGCGGTTTTCGGTTTGGGAGAGAGTGTTGTACTTTTGGCTCCTGAGGGTACCCCAGGCCCAGAAGATACCACCCATTTGGCGCAGAATTTTGAATTGGCAAGGAGCCCTGCTCGGGTCCTTCCAGCACTTTCAGGCTCTTAGGAAGTCAGTTCACGCTGACTTGAATGAGTCACTTGCATAGTCTAGAAATGTTCATTATTTTTATGGAAGATGTGCGCAGAGGCTTTTAGCCTTTTAGGCATGGGAGATGACTATGAAGAGAGTAGGAGGAGAGGACTTGGTGGTTCTGGAAGCAGCTGGAGGAGCTGGCTCTCTACATTCCAGAGGGAGGGAGGGAGGGTAAGTGGAAGTGGACAGGGCAGCAATACCAATGAAGCTGGCGGGCCAGAGCCAGGACAATGTGGCGGCCTGACTACAGTCACTAACTTATGAGTGGGGGAAGAAAAACATTAAGGAAATGGCTCTGATGATAAGGACTCCAGCATGTGAGCTGGCTCTTCAGCCTGGCATTAGAGGTCTCTAGGAAAGCATATGGGGTTCTGTTTTCCCCTAGGAAGTTTAGGGTAACAATCCAAAAAGATTCTCTGTGTATTAAACAGTTGTCTGTTTGATCTGGTTTTGCCTGGGAGCTGGTCTCCCTGCTGGGATACCTGGGGTATTTCCTTCCCCATCATTTTCAGGTCTTTACGTGAGGTGTTAGAAATCGTATTTAGGGAACTGGGTTGAAAATGAATGGCCTCAGCAGGGAGGAGGAAGAGGTGTTTCTTTTACCTTACTATGGAGTAGGGGGAGTAGATGTACTGGGGGTTGGGATGAATTTTTATGAAATCTTAGAACCTTTCCATGGGGTGGGTTTTTTTGTGGGGTTGGAGAATGACAAATGAGAGTGAGATGAACGAATTACCAGTAATAGTTTGTAGGTTATCATAGATGGTCCTGGGGTAGGAAAAGAAAGAACTGGTATAGCGTTGAATAGGGATAGGAGTGTTCTGGTTGTAATTGTTTTTTTGTGTGAGTGGGAAGAAGGGGTGGGACCAACCAGACTGATTTGGGAATGGATTAGATTTGTAATAGGGCAGGTAAGTTCACACTGGAGAAGTCCATGAGTTATTTGCATTTGCCCATAAGTGGAGTAAGTCAAATGCCAATACCAGATGCCTGGTGACATTTGCAGTTTTGCCATTCTTTTTTTTTTTGAGACAGAGTTTCACTCTTGCTGCCCAGGCTGGAGTGCAATGGCGTGATCTTGGCTCACTGCAACCTCCACCTCCCAGGTTCAAGCGATTCTCCTGCCTTAGCCTCCCAAATAGCTGGAATTACGGGCATGCGCCACCACGCCCAGCTAATTTTGTATTTTTAGTAGAGACGGGGTTTCTCCATGTTGGGCAGTCCGGTCTTGAACTCCCAACCTCAGGTGATGCACCACCATGCCCAGCTAATTTTGTATTTTTTAGTAGAGATGGGGTTTCTCCATGTTGGTCAGGCTGGTCTCGAACTCCTGACCTCAGGTGATCTGCCTGCCTTGGCCTCCGAAAGTGCTGGGATTACAGGTGTGAGCCACCACACCTGGCCCTGCAGTTTTGCCATTCTTGTCTCTCATCCGTCTGTGCTGGGAACCCATCATTCTCTGGTCCCACTGGTATATCGTATCCTAGGTGCTGGCACTTTCATGTGCTATAAAGTGTTTCATTTGATTATTAAATTTAACCTAGCTCAGTATGTCAGTAAGTTAGTTTCCACTTAACATTCCCTTGATTGCATGCTGGAATTTGTAGTGTGAATGAACTACTTCCCTTCCATGCAGAAACTGACAGCATTTGAGATTTGGACATTTTTGAGCTTTGTGCATTTGTTGATTCCTTCTCTAGGAAAACTATTCGGTCCATGAAGGGAGAGAGGGACGTGGGGAGATGTCTAAGTTGGTCACCTCCACCAAGAACTTTGGTTTTCTACTCAGAACTCTTTTTTTTTTTTTTTGAGATGGAGTTTCACTCTGTTGCCCAGGCTGGAGTGCAGTGGCGCGATCTTGGCTCACTGCAACTTCCGTCTCCCAGGTTCAAGACTACAGGCATCTGCCACCATACTCGGCTAATTTGTCATATTTTTAGTAGAGACAGGGTTTCACCATGTTAGCCAGGATGGTCTCGATCTCCTGACCTCGTGATCTGCCCGCCTTGGCCTCCCACAGTGCTGGGATTACAGGTGTGAGCCACCGCGCCTGGCCTCAGAACTCTAATTGTTACTTCTTAAGGATTTGTATGTCTTTCCCAGTAAATAGAATCATTAAATGACATATGGGACTGTGTACCACACTGGGGAGAGTATGGACCCTAGAATGAGGTTGGACTAGGGTGTTTCTTCTGCCCATAGGGTGTGTAACCACTGATAACTCACCTGGCTTCTCTGATCCTCAGTTTCCTCATCTCTAAAATAGAAAAGATAATACCTGCCTTACAGAGTTGTGTGAATGTTACAAAAGGTGAGGTGCACAAGGTTCCTAGCGCATTGCCTTACATTCTACTGCTTTGGAATGCCTTTGGTGACCCTGCGGTATTTGTGGCAGTGTTTGGGTTTCTGGGTTCCTGGCTCCTCTACCTCCATGGTAGCCTTTCCTTCCTCAGGGGTGAGGGAGAGCAAAAAGCTTCCACTAGTTTTCCTACAGGAACCTCTGGCAGTAGCAGGTTGACTTTTGCAATGGAATTTGTGTTTTTGTGCAACATAAACCTCCTTTTCCTGAGCACCAAGGCAGCACTTATTTGCAAAAACCCATAAGCCTGACTCCTTTTTAGAGATCCCCTAGCAGAGTTTATGGTGGTCACACAGGGCTGCTTTTTAGATGCATTTGTGGGAACTGGGAAATGAGCCTTCGACTTGTACTTGACTTGTACTTGTTTTCCTGCTGCGTGAGCTCAAGGAGCCTGACTCATGCCACTTCCTGCACTTCCCCCTGACCTCCACAGGAGGGAGGCAGGCGTCCATGCCTGGCAAAGACTCCTGCTGAGCTGCCAAAGCTCTAGCTGTTTGCTCAGCTGTCACATCCAGGTCCTGTCTTTACTGAACTGTCTACACAGCTTTACCTGGGGTGTGAGGCTCTCCAAGGCTTCCTGTTAGCTTTTTTGTTGGGGGTGGCAGCGTGAGGGGGATCTATTGCCACTCTCGAAGAACATGTTTCCCTTGTTTTTCAGGGAGCTTTTGGGTGCTCTCATTTATTCCTTATACAAGCTCAGTTTTGTCTATTGTATAGGGACAGCGTCTCTGAGAGGCAGCTTATTCATTTCTCAAGAGGAAAGATCTGTTAAGAATGTGGGATCAGAGTCCCACTGAGAATGATAGTAAAGGGGATGGGGGCGTTGGAAGGCCTTGAACTTGAAGCAAAGGAAATTACCCTTTCTCTGTTTTCTGATGCAAGACCTTTTCTGATGCAAGGTCTCTCCCTCTGTTCAAATGCCAGGCCAGCCCAGGCCTTTGCAGAATTGTCATAGAAAAAGAGCACATAGAGAACCAGTGAGTTGCAAGTTTCTGCAGAAAATAGACCAAAGATCTAGCTGCTCTGATGAATATTGTTGATAGCTTAAAAAAATAGCTTCTGAAGGCTTATAATGTACAGTGAAAAGTGATTCCCTTTTCAGTCCTGTGTATCCCTTTTACCAGGGCTTTGGGTTTCAGGAGAAAGTAGGAAATCTTGTCCAGTTGTCTCCCAGGGGCTCCCTGCAGGGAAGGGAGCTGTACATGAGACAATGCTGATGTCGGCAGTGTCTGAGAACCTTACCCTTCCTGAGACAGATTCTGGGAGTGGGTGTGGGATGTGTTTAGAAGAGGGCTGGTAGGGGTGGGTGTTGGAGCAGAAGGGTCAGGAAGCAGGGGGTGGAGCTGGACCACAGGGGAGGGCAAGGTGGGTGGAAGAGGGAAGAGTGTGTACTGTCCAGTAGGGGGATGGGTTGGGGAAGGAGAATATCCAGGCTGGAGGTTGGGTGGCAGGGAGCCTGTGTCTGATGTTCCTGGGGAAATGTCCGGGGCTCCTAGGGTCCTGCGTGAGGGTCCAGGAAAGAGTCCACGAGTTCCATTCAAGAGTTCGTGTATCCTGTTCAGGTATCCGGGGATTCGGTCCAGGGACCTGGAGGTTTGGTTCAGCAGACCAGGAATCTTGGCTCTGAATCCCTGCTGCCGCTTCTGAAGTCCAGAGCCAGTAGTTCTGGCCGAGGCAGTGAAGTTTGTCTCCAACAATCCAGAAGTCCTGTTTGGGAGCTCGTTCAGTGTGAGGACTAGAGAGGTTCTGCTGGGGACAGCTGTGGTGGGTGGGGCCCGCCTGACGCAGAGGGTGGGCCCTCCTACAAGCAGCAGGAAACGCACCTTTCCTCGGAGCAGGTGTTGGAAGCTCAGGAAGATGGCATTGGGGTCCTTGTGAGCTGTGGTCCTGCCCTGTGGAGGAAGCTGAGGGCAGAGGATGGTCCTGAGGCCGAAGACCAGGACCAGATCTCAGGCCTCCCTTGTCTAAGTAGGAAAAATAGGATACCAGCACCCAGGCATTGTGACTGGCAGGGAGCACTCTTAGTAGATCAACTCTTCTGCCCTTGAGCTCCCTGGAAGACCCCTTCTTCCCTCAGGTCTTCTAGGGGGACTGAGTCAGAAAAGAACAGTTTCTACAGATCCCTTGACTGGAGACTTACCTGGGTTCCAAGGAGGCTCTGCAGGGCCCCAAGGAGGAGACGGACCTGTCCAGAAAGCTGCCCCAGGAGGGATGAGAGGCAAGTGGGTCCCAGTTGTCCCCGTGCTGCCATTACTCCCTCCAGCAGAAGGGTCACTGCTCCCAGAATGTCCTGTGCCTTGGTCTCCTCCTGAGAAAGAGATGGAAGACAGAAGTGCACTGCCTCAAAGGGCACACTAATAGCGGGTGGGGAACCTGTAGGAGTAGCCAGCAGAGTGAATCATACGGGCTGAGAATTGGACAGGACCAAGGTCCCACCCAGGGCAGGAATTCCTTCACAGTATCCCGACAGCTGGTCATCAGCCTCTGCTTCAAAAACTCCAGGGTCCACTAGTCCAGCCTGGTCTTAAACTTGGTTTCAGTGAGAAGAGCTCCTTTTTTTCTTACGTTGCTGAAATCTGCCCTGTTAGAGCTTTTACCTCTTGGTTCTAGTGCTGCAAATTTACTTTCTCTGCTGCAAAACCTTAGGATCATTTGATTTTTAAACTGAATGAAGGCCGGGTGCAGTGGCTCATGCCTGTGATCCCAGCACTTTGGGAGGCTGAGGCAGGTGGATCACCTGAGGTCAGGAGTTCAAGACCAGCCTGGCCAACATGGTGAAACCTCATCTCTACTAAAAATACAAAAATTAGCTGGGCATGGTGGTGGGCAGCTGTAATCCCAGCTACGTGGGAGACTGAGGCAGGAGAATCGCTTGAATCAGGGAGGCTGAGGTTGCAGTGAGTTGAGATCGTGCCACTGCATTCCAGCCTGGGGGATAGAGTGAGACTCCGTCTCAAATAATAAATAATAATAAATAAATAAACTAAATATAGATATGAGACTCTATCATAATGATCATAAGGATGAAAAGAAAGGACTAGAAGGGACCCATAGGAACTGCCCTTCTTCCCTGACTCAGTACTGAGGGAAGAAGGGATGCTAGGGCTCTTGAGGATAGATTTTAGTTTTTTAAATTATTGCTCATAAAACATGCTTCTGGTCTCTTACTGTTCAGGCTGCTGCTTTCTGGACACGTGTTAATTTAATATGGTCTCTCTTAACAAATTAGCATATGTCTTCAGGGGGATGTCCAGTGTTCAGGCCAGTATATTTAAGTGTAGTCCACTCGGAATAGAGTTCTCTAGGAGCATTTCCAAAATGGGGATGCTAAACATCGAACAGAAAAGAATTACTAGCTTTAAGAATAGCTGCTTCAGTAATGTTACATGGCAAGTTTGGGGGCAATTTAATTCTTTCAGATCCTTTTCATAGGAAGTGCTAGGACCAGGGGCTTAAATGATGGAAGCAGGGCATTGTGGCCTGAAAGCTGGCATAGGACTTTACTCATTAATTTACACATGTAGAACTTTTTTCTTTTTCTTTTTTTCTTTTTGAGATGGAGTTTTGCTCTTGTCACCCAGGCTGGAATGCATTGGCATGATCTCGGCTCACTGCAACCTCTGCCTCCCAGATTCAAGTGACTCTCCTGCCTCAGCCTCCTGAGTAGCTGGGATTACAGGCATGCACCACCATGCCCGGCTAATTTTGTATTTTTAGTAGAGACGGGGTTTCGCCATGTAGGCCAGGCTGCTCTCAAACTCCTGACCTCAGCTGATCCACTCGCCTCGGCCTCCCAAAGTGCTGGGATTACAGGCGTGAGCTCCCGGCCCACATGTAGAATTTTTTATCTCTGTTATTTCACCTTATTTTTGACCTAGTCTTTCCGTGATTTGAATCTTGATTCAGTCTTTTGTTATTTTAGTGGTACTTCCCAGCTTTGTGTCATCTGTGGATGACATATGAGTCTTGCTTCTTCATGCCAATTTAAGAAGATTGAGTGGGAATAGGTCAAAGGCATGGCCATGAGTGATTTCTCTCCAGCTTTTCATGGTGTTCAGCTTCAAATCTATTCACATATTGGACCTGCAAGCCATCATCTTATCCACAGACTATCATTATAGGTGAATGTAGATTGGGTTAGGGTGACCAAGCTGAAGGTGAGATATTTTTAAAAAGCTCAAGAATGTTGGAGAATCCATGGGAAGCAGTAGGAAACTGAAGACAGGACTTAGGGAAGCCAAGGTTAAGAACGGCTTTCTTACCATCTGGGTTTTCCATTCTCCCAAGCTAAAGTCCACAGCAGGCAGCAGGACAGGTGTGGGTAAAGGGTTAACCTCTGGGCACAGGCTCTGTTGAAAAAGATTGTTGGGGGGAGAAGGGAGCTGAAATAGAGAGGGCTATGGTAGCCTAGTGAGAAAGGTAGTCCTCCATGAGTACTACGTCTAGACGAGAGCTTTTAAATGATGGCTGTATTGCAAAGATTAATCCTTGTCAGGGAGTGTGATCAGTAGGTGGTGACAATATGGGAAGAATAGTCATTGGCTTAAGGAGTTAGAGGAAGTGGTGTCTTCCCGGGAGTATGGGTATCTTACCAGTTAACGCGGATAAAGGGGATAATGTTGGGGGTTCTCACCAGTCTGCTGTGAAGGACATGGGAGTCACGAAGCAGTTTACTGAGGACTCGGGGGTCACAGGCAGGAGGAGCCGGGCTGGACAGAGTTAGCCTTGCAGTTAGGAGAAGCATGACCACGAGGAGCAATTCTTAGATGAGGAGAGGTGAGGTTGAAAGATGAGGAGGAAATCATTGTCAGCTGGTATTCCAGGAATTCCCATTCAGGACCCAGACCCGAAATCCAGGGAATCCACCCCTCAGACCCCTTATTTTTGAGAGAATGGGTTCCCCCATCTCCCTGCCCCTGCAGTGTGTCTCCTTTCTCTCTCCCTTTGTGTCATGTTTCCATCTGGCCCTAGCCCCTCAAGAGTGTTCTCACCAGTCAGCTCCATTCTGGCCGGGGTGTCTGGCTGGCGTGGCTCCCTGTTTGGGGCCTCTCCCCTGAATCCTTCCTGGGGCCATGGAGGCGGCTTGGGCTCTTGCACTTCTGGGCAGAGTAGGGTGGGTCAAAGGCGGGCCAAGGATGAGGAATCTATCCTGAAAGTGGCAAGAAGAGTGAACAGTTAACCAAGTTTCTAGGAAGAGACTGCCTGGCAGGGTGAACAGATGCTGGGGAGGGCTTGAGATGCTGACCAGCCTGGAACTGCCAAAGGCCTGACTTCTCTCACGTTTTCTTGTGATGAAAGCATATGGTATGCCGGGTGCAGTGGTTCACGCCTGTAATCCCAGCACTTTGGGAGTCCAAGGTCAGGAGTTCGCGACCAGCCTGACTAACATGGTGAAACCCCGTCTCTACTAAATACAAAAAAATTAGCAGGGCATGGTGGCATATGCCTGTAATCTGAGCTACTTGGGAGGCTGAGACAGGAGAATCGCTTGTACCTGGGGGGTGGAGGTTGCCGTGAGCTGAGATCCTGCCATTGCACTCCAGCCTGGGCAATAAAAGCGAAACTCCGTCTCAAAAAAAAAAAAAAAAAAAAAAAAAAGAAAAGAAAAGAAGAAAAGAAAGCATATGGTATCTCCTTTTTGTCAGGCCTCCTCAGTGAATCTGACATGGATTTGTTGCCGCCTACCCCTGCTGAGAACAGCAGGACATGGTATGTATACACACATATCTTAATTGGCCTTAAATTCTGAGCAACCTTGGTTGTTAGGTCAGAGAAAATCTGGGATGGGGATAGAGAAGGAAAGTATTGTGGCTTCAGCCTGGAGAAGAGAGTGGAAAATGGGATGCAGGGCCCGGGTGAGGAATTGGCAAACATGCACAATATGTTGAGGGGTAACTTTTGCAGTGGGGAGTGGGGCTGGGGTGGGAAACTGCACAAAGCTGTAACTGGGACCACTTAGAGGTCAGGATTAAGGGGCAGTATGGGAGAAATTAACCTCTATTCTTTCCCTATGTACTCCCACACATAAAAACCTCTGGAGCTTTTCTTTGGACTCCAAGTCCTGAAATACTCCATTATCTGAGGTCAAGAGATGGGGTAACAGTCCTGGGACTTCCTTCCTGAGACCAGCTACCCAGGAAGGGGCACCTGCTGGGTGATGCCCACCTTAGGGGCTTACCTTGCCTTGGGCGCCCACTAACATATCTGTCTCATAGCTCACACCTGCCTCCCTGCCCCCTTGGCAGAACCCCTTCCGGTTCCTTCACAGGACCCCCCACATGGCTTCCTCCTCCTTTCACAAGTTGTGCAAAGAGGCTTGCACCTGATTCAATATTGGGATTTCCTGTAGGTCTGTCAACATGCATGGGCCCTCCTCCCATTACCCTCTCCTTGTGCCCTGGCTTGCCTAGCCCAGCTTCCCTAGCGCCAGATTCACAACCTTAAGCTAACAAGGAATGACCAGCTAAGAATGGGGATTGGGGATGTGTCCATCTTAGTACTGTGTTCGCTAAGCCCGAAGTGCAACTCCCTCTCTTATTTTCTCCCTGGGCTCGTGTCCCCTTTCCTTAGGGCCAGTCAGGGCTGTGCTGTATTCCACCAAGTAAGTGATCAGTCCCTCAGAAACCAGCACCCCACCCCCTACCCCTGCTCTGCCCTGCTCCTCCCATTCTGGGAAGGCTACACTCTTCTCGACAAAGGTCAGTGCCTGTAGGTTCCAGTTTGCCTGCCCCTCCCCCAGCTGGGAGACCATTTCTCTTTGCTGTCCTTTATACCCTCACATAACCCCACACCCTGCTGGCCACTCACCGGGTGGAGAAGGGCTCCAGGACCCAAATGCACAGCAGGCAGCCCTCTGGGGAGCAGATGGGTAGGAAGACATGTGGCGGTGGGGCACAGCCCCTCCACAGCAGCAGGTCACACGCCTGCCTGGGCCACTTCTGCCCAATCAGAGGAGGGAACCACCAGACACGGGCAAAGGCCCCCGGAAGTGACGCCTTCTCTTCCCTGGAGCCCCTGCCTGAACCAGGGTCCACTCCTCCACCCACACACACCATGGAGAAGACTTGGATAGGGGGATTCATCTTTTCCTGGACATGGGCAACCTGGGACCTGGAGGGGGACAGGAGCAGAGGTTTTTTTCCCGGAGGAATCTGGCAGGACATTTGTGTCACTGGGGAAGAAGCCCAGAAGTCTTGTTTTAGATTGGTGAGGTTTTCACTTCCTGGCTATCCAAATTTCTTTTCCCTGGACATCACACCTGCTGCTGAAATCCAACAGGACACTTCCTTTCCTGTTTTTCTTTCTATAACCCCCTAGGGGGTCCTGTCTTGTTATACCCCTTTTCGAAGTGGGAATACGGATATTGCCCACATGAGAGAAATCTCCTGTTATGGGCTGGTGTTATGGGGAAAGGGTTTAGACTGGTTGAGAGGACTGTCAGGTGCGGGGCGCATATATGTGTGCAGGCATGAACCGGGTTAAGCCTGGGCTTAGGTGCTGGTCTGCTGGGGTCTAGTGATTTGGAGGGCTACACACACAGCTCTCTGTGCATGGGGCCCTCCTTTGCTTGTTCTGTCTCCCTCTTCCATCTCCTACCGTTCCACATGTGACAAGAGGAATAACCAGGCCCATGTGTCCCTGTCTTAGGAAAGACAGCTGCTGGACCTCCCCCGCAAATACCTCCCTGCTGGCCCCCCTTTTCCTTTGGCCCTGGCTCTAGCTCCTTTGCTTTCTTCCTAGTCCCAGTCTCCCCACAGTCTCTGTCCTCAGGGGCGTCCCGGCCTGACCTTGTTCCCATCATCCCCCTGTCCCCTAGAACTTCCTCAGACTCTCTCCTGTTCCTCCTCCCCAAGGATGGGCATGTCTGCTGAGAAGTGTGGCCTAGATCCTGGAATTTTCCCGACCAGCCAGACGAGATGTCTCCCAAGATTAGGAAGGAGGGTGCTGGGATAGCTAGGAGGATAGTGGGTGTGTCTGGGTGGGAGAGACAGGGAGGCAGGCATGACCACTGGAACTAAGAGAAAGGAGGCTGCGAGTGGGTTGGAGAGGCAGAGAGTCCCTTGGGTGAAGGAAGGGGGTGAGGAAGCAAGAGGGGATGGTCGAATGGGCCTGAGGATAAGTTACAATGAGAGAGAGACACTGTCATTCCACAGAAAGGGGAATGCTGCCGCTTTCTGGCTAGGTCCGTGTCCTGGGTAACACAAGAATGAGGAGCGACCTCAGAGAGGAGGTAGGGAGGCAGGCTAGGCAGTGAGAGAGGGTGGTGAGGGTTTGAGGGGCGCTGTGGGCCAGGCAGGGGGAGATCGGCTGATGGGCCTTTCCTGTACGTTGTCATCTTTAAAGACAAGTCTTCATCCTTCGGGCGGAACCGGGTCCTGCTCACTGAGCGGTCCAGGCCTCAGGCCTAGCCTCTGCCCCTCCCTGGCCTGAGGCTCCCCTCCTGGGCTGGACACCGACCTCCTGGTCCAGCCGCCCTGTGGCCGTCAGCAGCGGGGGGCTCCGGGCCCGCCTCTCCTCCCCCTCTTCGCGCCCCCTGGTCCCTCCCCTCCCCCTCCCCCGCTCCCCTTCCCCTCCCGCTCCTCCCTCCTCCCCTGCCCGGTCCCAGGCCCTCCCTCCCCTCCCCCACCCGCGATCCGGGCCGCTGCTGCTGGGCCGGACCCCCCGGGCTCAGCCCGGCCCCTCGCCGAGCTGCCGCCGCCGCCCCGTTTGCTGAGGAGGAGGCCCCCGGCCGGGGCGTCGGGCGCGGGGCATAAAACGGGCCGGAGCCGGCGCCCGGGGCAGTAGAGCCGCGTACGGCCCGGGTCAGCGCCCGACCGCCCGCGCTCCTCCCGGCCGCTCCTCCCGCCCCGCCCGGCCTGGCGCCGACTCTGCGGCCGCCCGACGAGCCCCTTGCTGCACTGCCCCGGCCCCGGCCCCGGCCCCGGCCCCCTCCCGCCGCACCGCCCCCGGCCCGGCCCTCCGCCCTCCGCACTCCCGCCTCCCTCCCTCCGCCCGCTCCCGCGCCCTCCTCCCTCCCGCCTCCCCAGCTGTCCCGTTCGCGTCATGCCGAGCCTCCCGGCCCCGCCGGCCCCGCTGCTGCTTCTCGGGCTGCTGCTGCTCGGCTCCCGGCCGGCCCGCGGCGCCGGCCCTGAGCCCCCCGCGCTGCCCATCCGTTCCGAGAAGGAGCCGCTGCCCGTTCGGGGAGCTGCAGGTAGGTGGGCGCCCGGGGGAGGCGCGGGCGGAGATACGGGCTCGGGGCGAGTCAGCGCCAGTCCGGAGGGGGCGCGGGGCGCAGGTGGCTCGGCGCGGCTGGCGGCCCGGAGGGTGGGCGGGGGCTGAAGGGCGCAGTGCCCGGGACCCGGGACCCGCGGGCAGCCCCGGGGGCGGCACACGGCGCGAGCTGGGCAGCGGCCTCCAGCCAAGCCCGTCCCCGCAGGCTGCTCCTTCGGCGGGAAGGTCTATGCCTTGGACGAGACGTGGCACCCGGACCTGGGGGAGCCCTTCGGGGTGATGCGCTGCGTGCTGTGCGCCTGCGAGGCGGTGAGTGCGCCCCGCGGCCGGCCCGGGCCCTGACTGGTGGCGAGCGCAAGTCGCGCGGACGTCGGAGTGCTGAGAAGGAGCCCAGCCGGCAGATGTTGGGGATGTTTTTCTGGTGGAGGAAGGGGAATCAGCCCCTTCAAGTCTTAGGTGCTGTTACTGATCGCCCACTCTGTGTGAGGCTCTGTGCCAACTCCGTTTCTTTCCCAGCTCACCTAACTCCCATGGCAGCCTTGCTAGATAGCGAGAGTATTACTATCCCCATTTTCCGGACAGGGACCTTGAGGCCCAGAGAGACGAAGTAGCTTGTTTAGGGTCACGCAGATTGTAAGTGGCAGAGCTGGCTGACTCTGCGGGACATCCTTGCCTGGGGGTCTCATCAGTTGGCTTCTTGTGCTCACTTGGGTTTCCCGCCTTTTCCGGGAGCAGCTTCAGTGGGGTCGCCGTACCAGGGGCCCTGGCAGGGTCAGCTGCAAGAACATCAAACCAGAGTGCCCAACCTTGGCCTGTGGGCAGCCGCGCCAGCTGCCGGGACACTGCTGCCAGACCTGCCCCCAGGGTAAGGCTTACTCCGCCCTGCGGGGAGGGAGGCAGGGCCAAGGTACTGGGTCCTGGGCCACTTGGATGGGGTTTCGGACCGGCCCTTCCCACGGCCAGCTGAAGCCCGTGTTCTTACCCCGCCCCCTGCAGAGCGTAGCAGTTCGGAGCGGCAGCCGAGCGGCCTGTCCTTCGAGTATCCGCGGGACCCGGAGCATCGCAGTTATAGCGACCGCGGGGAGCCAGGCGCTGAGGAGCGGGCCCGTGGTGACGGCCACACGGGTAGGGGGCTGGCAAACAGCGGGGTTGTGGTTGAGGCTGGGCCACCAAAGCAGCGTTTGACAGTGCTCAGGCCATCTTCCTCCCGTCCCAGACTTCGTGGCGCTGCTGACAGGGCCGAGGTCGCAGGCGGTGGCACGAGCCCGAGTCTCGCTGCTGCGCTCTAGCCTCCGCTTCTCCATCTCCTACAGGCGGTGAGAAAGGGGAAGGAGCAAGGAGGGGTCAGCTGCTGGCCAGGAGGGAAACTGGGAGAGCTGGGAGGGGCTGCTTTTGGCCCAGTCTGGCCTCACCCGACCTCTCATTCCCAGGCTGGACCGCCCTACCAGGGTCCGCTTCTCAGACTCCAATGGCAGTGTCCTGTTTGAACACCCTGCAGCCCCCACCCAAGATGGCCTGGTGAGATGATGTCATTTATGAGCACTTGTCCAGTCTGGGCACTGTGCTGAGAGCATGCTCTGCATTGCCTCCAGTGGTCCTCACCACAGCCCAGTGGGAGGAAGGCACTGACATTATGATGACCATTTTACAGAAGGGGGAACTGAGGCTCAGTAGGAGAATGTGATTTGTTCAAGGTCACACAGCTAGTAAGTGGTGCAGCCAGGACTGGAACCCAAGCATCTGGCTCCAGGGTTCTTTCTTAAGCTTCCTAGGGCACCCTGGAGGTTCCTTTCCATGTTCCTTTTTCATCAGGCCTGCCTGGACCTCCTAATTGGCCTAACCTGCACAGTGTCTGAGCGTAGGGCCTTCTTGTCTCTCTCCTCCAGGTCTGTGGGGTGTGGCGGGCAGTGCCTCGGTTGTCTCTGCGGCTCCTTAGGGCAGAACAGCTGCATGTGGCACTTGTGACACTCACTCACCCTTCAGGAGAGGTCTGGGGGCCTCTCATCCGGCACCGGGCCCTGGCTGCAGGTAGGGAGCAAAGAGCCCTGGGCATGAAGTTCTGAGTTTTCTCTATCCCCCAGGAAAGGGGAGGGGGCGTTCTGATGGGCTCTCATCATCCTCCCTTCCCCAGAGACTTTCAGTGCCATCCTGACTCTAGAAGGCTCCCCAGAGCAGGGCATAGGGGGCATCACCCTGCTCACTCTCAGTGACACAGAGGACTCCTTGCATTTTTTGCTGCTCTTCCGAGGGCTGCTGGAACCCAGGAGTGGGGGTAAGTGGGATGGGGGCAAAACAGGTGAGAAGGTTAGGGAGAGCACCTGTCTCAGAAAGGCCCACATGTGCGGCCTTGCAGGACTAACCCAGGTTCCCTTGAGGCTCCAGATTCTACACCAGGGGCAGCTACTGCGAGAACTTCAGGCCAATGTCTCAGCCCAGGTGAGTGGGGATCTGGCTCTTGCTGCCACCTGTCTTGGCCTCTTGCTGTTGCCCATCACACCCTGCTCTGTCCCCAGGAACCAGGCTTTGCTGAGGTGCTGCCCAACCTGACAGTCCAGGAGATGGACTGGCTGGTGCTGGGGGAGCTGCAGATGGCCCTGGAGAGGGCAGGCAGGCCAGGGCTGCGCATCAGTGGACACATTGCTACCAGGAAGAGCTGCGACGGTGAGGCAGGGCGGGGAGGGCCTGGTGCCCTGGGTGTGCACAACTGAGAGGCACAGACACATGCCAGGGAAGGGGCCAGGGTGGGCATGGGAGAGATCCTGAGGACTGGGGGTGTAAGTGGCCATGGGTAAGCCTAGCCTCACCTGTCTTGCCCCTCCATAGTCCTGCAAAGTGTCCTTTGTGGGGCTGATGTCCTAATCCCAGTCCAGACGGGTGCTGCTGGCTCGGCCAGCCTCACACTGCTAGGAAATGGCTCCCTGATCTATCAGGTAAGAGCCAGGGGCTGCAGAAGGTGGGGGAGAGGTGGGGTGGGCAGCAGGCCCAGGCCTTTACTGCCCCTCCACTTTGCCCTCCTTCATCCCTGCCCATCAGGTGCAAGTGGTAGGGACAAGCAGTGAGGTGGTGGCCATGACACTGGAGACCAAGCCTCAGCGGAGGGATCAGCGCACTGTCCTGTGCCATATGGCTGGACTCCAGCCAGGAGGACACATGGTGAGGGCTCCAGGTTGCTTTACCCCAGGGCCCAGTGCATGGGCTGTGGGAAGCCAGGTTGGATGAGCAGGGATGTTCATTATCATCCACTCACTCATGGATTCTCCCACTCATTCTTTTATTCATTTGACTTTTTTTTTTTTTTTTTTTTTTTTGAGATGGAGTCTTGCTCTGTCGCCTGGGCTGGAGTGCAGTGGCGTGATCTCAGCTCACTGCAACCTCTGCCTCCTGGGTTCAAGTGATTATCTTGCCTCAGCCTCCCGAGTAGCTGGGACCACAGGCATGCGCCACCATGCCCAGCTAATTTCTGTATTTTTAGTAGAGATGGAGTTTCACCATGTTGGCCAGGATGGTCTCGATCTCTTGACCTTGTGATCTGCCCGCCTCGGCCTCCCAAAGTGCTGGAATTACAGGCGTGTAGCCACTGCGCCCGGCCTGATTTGACATTTTTAGTGAGCCCCAGACTAGGGACTAGAGTACAAAGCAAATCAGATGTAGCCCCTGTGCTCAGCAAGCTCACAGTCAAATGGGAGGCATTGGACCTGGAGAACAGTGTCATAGGCTGCATAGTAGTAATTGTAATGGCAATGGTTGCTACTTATAGGGCCTTTCTATGTGCTAGGTGCTGAATTGGTGGCCTTACATATTTTTTGACTTTCACAGTATGCATTTTATAGATGAGGAAGTGAAGGCTTGGAGAAATTAAGTAACTCTTCAAGGTTGTTACATAGCTAGGAAGTAGCAGGGGAGGGCCATGAAACTGGGCCTGCCAGGTCCTTATCCTGTGTTTCTGGTGTGTGGAAGTGTGTGTGGGTGGAGTGGGGGTACAAAATGACCCAAGGTTTCAGAACCCTGGACTCGTGTGAGAGCTGAGGAAGGCCTGTCCTCCCCTGCCCCCCCACCCAGGCCGTGGGTATCTGCCCTGGGCTGGGTGCCCGAGGGGCTCATATGCTGCTGCAGAACGAGCTCTTTCTGAACGTGGGCACCA